CACTTATCAAGGCTGAGGTGAGCGAATCCCACTTACACTGAAAATACAACAGAGGTGTAATTCAACTCAAAACAAACTGGGAAAATGACATAAACAAGTAAAGTTGATAAATGCCAATACTAATTTTAGCTAACATGTAACACTTTTCAGTCTTGAATGGCTTAAATGACTTTGTGATTTTTTTTATTTTTTTTTTTACGTTGTCTTGAACAATAGTTGGCTTAGTTTTTCTAAAGGTCTTTCAAAATTGTTTTTTTAAATTTAGTTTAGCTTTTTTATTCACCTAGGTTAATAATCAGCATGTAATAGGCTCATAGTAACAATGCTACATGTTTTAGCTAAAAATAAAAATAAATAATAAATAAATAATAAAATAATAAAAAAATAAAGATAAAATTGGCTGTTACTGTTGACTACAAAAGTGGGGCCCATCTGATGCAAACTGAAATTTCTTCAATATTTGGGATTTCTTCATTGATTGAGTTTTTATTGGGGAGGTTAAATTTTCGGACTAACAATGGCACAAGATGAAAAGTCAGCAGAGAGACTAAATATAGTCCTTTTATCGGGGACAAGAATTTGTTGTTCTGGAGCCGCATGAGTGAGGGAAATGATTGTTTGGGTTAGTGCAGACAACTGCGCCAATTTCGCAGTTGTTCTTAATGTCCATCACTGGTCACCAGGTCTATCTATTTATGTGCTATCGATTTATTTATGTTCCCAGAAAATTTAAGCCTCTTCTATCATAGTGTGTTGATGACATCAGCCTCATGTATATGTGGTTTTAGTCCCAGTCCCTTCAGTTCTCCTTGCATTCTGCATGTACAACTGCTCTTACTTCTATTATTAAACATGGCCATGAATTCTACTGTTTGTTTATTTAATGATTCAGACAAACATTTTTTCCATTACTGCGGGATATGTCTTCTGACTTAGTTGCTTATGTTCCTTTATTAAAGGCCTATGAGGAAGCCACACCTATTGTGAGATGGCTTGGCCAGTACCAACAGGGAGATGGAGGTTATGGGTCAACTCAGGTAAAACAAAAGTCCCTCTGACAGTTTATTATGTGTCTGTGAAGCAAAACCTTACCAATTTTTTATTTATTTTTTGTCAGTATAGAAAGACTCAGTCTAATGCGTATATTCTTCTTCAGGCTACCATAATGGTGTACCAGGCAAGTTCAGAGTACTGGATCAATGCTAAAGAACCAGAGTATAATGTGGATGTAGACATCCTGCTACCCGGCAGAAAAACGACTGACAAGTACAGCTTCAGCGAGGCAAATCGTTTTACCACGAGAACATCAAAGGTGAGCCGAGCATCTTGTTCAAACAAGTAAGTGTGGTGGTGAGTTTGGGATTTGGGAATGGGGAAGAGAAAACTTCAACTCTCGCTTCACCAAAAGAATTATTGGAGAAAAATGAAATTGAGGTTAGATGGGACATGAAGCAAAAACTAGTCCTGAACTTGCATGAGCCAGTTAGAGGTAACAACAATTTGGCAGCGATGAAGCGTGAAGGTACAAGCCCTGCATGTTGATACTGGAACCAGGGTTGAGAGCTGAAGCCCAGAAAAATCCAAAGCCCCACTGGAAGGTGGGCCCAGTAAGAACACTTGACTCATATTTCTAGCTTAGAAAACAGAGAAAGAAGGAAAATCCAGACTGCACAGATCATGACAGTACAGCCTACAAAGACAATGTTACTAATCTTAGCCAGTTTGCTGCAGTAACTTCAGTTAGTTTAATATCTGTTAGTTGGAGCTCAGCTTAGTGTCCCTATCACTCATGTTGAGCCATTTTTGCATCAGTGAAACCAAATGTATAGCTAAACTTCAGGCTTATCTTTAATTCATAATCATTTACTTATACATTTATTTATTTACTTTTACAGACCTATCAACCTGAGTGTTTAGCTGTAAGTTTTAGATGTTATTGGTGTTTTTCCACAACCCATCCCACTCTGTATCCCACACACTGAAGTCCCTCTGCCAGTGGAAAGCCAAAGTGGTAGTGGTAGTGGGCAGTTAGCTTTTAGTGTGCAATGTTTATCAAATCAACC